TACATGATTGTGTATTATAATATACGCAAATTTTCTTTAATTAATATCTAAAAATCTATGGTCATTTACAAAATGATAGAGGACTTTTTTGTTCAATTTGACCTAATATATAAATATACAACGGCGCCACTGCAGCTCATCTATCATATCGCGCGTGATCATTCACCAATCTTTTTTAATTAATATCTTGAAATTTATTGCGAATATCTCAAAACGGTGTGGGATTTTCTTGCTCATTTCAATCCATTCTACGTTCTCGCAAAGTTTAGTTAACTATTTCTGAAGCATTCATGCATATATGTGCGATATACATAGTAGAATTTGTTTCTGCATCAATAACTCGCAGTTAAATACGAATTACGTTTATACAAACAAAATTTTCGCAAAGTTCTCATTTTATCGGGTCAATATTAATGAAGTTCTTAAGATGGCCGTCGATTAATCGCGGAGGAGGAAAGAACTTCATATCTCTCTCAAGCTTATCTCGCTGATTGTTGAAAACAGATCTCTTAAGCCGATCTCCGTCGGCCGGTCTGTCGATTCTCGACTCTCGGCATCTCGCATTCGCGGCGCGATTCTTCGACACAGCGATTTGGCACGACGACGGCGACAATTCTCGGAGAAGTTTTGCGGCCGGAATGGATGAGTTTACGCGGAGTTCCGGTGGCTTTGACGGAGCTCCGCGGCCAAAACTTGGTGCGCGGAACTATCAAAGAGCAAGTGGGAAGTCCGCGGCAATCAGTCGCCCGCCGCCGTACTAATGCGATTGTCGTTTAAAACAGTCGGCCCCTGCGGCAAATTGCCGCGACTCGGCAACTCCCGACGTTTATGGCACTTGGCGAACTCGCGGAGGCGACTCCGCGCGATTATTTTCCGCGAGACAGTCGCTCGGCATTCCGCTCGTCTCGTTCGCCTCGCGAAATCCCCGGGACGCCTGGCGATACTTTATCTCCCGCGGGATTCACTCCGAGAACGCGAGGATTCCCCGGTGTACCGGGAATGTTCAAGAGTCCAAGAAACTACGGCAGTTTTTTAAGCTCTGTTTGGTGTTTCGCGAACATTTTGTGAATTTTTTATAAATTTCTCGAATTTTCCGAAATTCCCTGGAGATTTCGAATTTTCTCTGAACGCGTATCGCGGGAAGTTTACGAGACTCTACCTCTGCGAAATTTGCCGCAGAATTATACCGAATTTTCGGAAATTTGTTGACGATGTAGTATAACAGTTGTTTGTTAGTTTGTTAGTATAACAGAGTTCCGCTAAGTTTCTTGAAAAATTGTTCAAGATATGACGAGGTATCTATACATAAAGTATCACTTTCTCTTTCAACGTAATCAAGCAAGTTTAATCACCTTCATGTAAAAGGATTGAAACTTCCTTTAGCCATTCTCAAGTAACTTGTATAAATTTGCATTTACATAGAGAAAATATTATAGTTTTTATCATATAAATTCTTTTCAATTTCATTATATTTCTAATAGTGCAGTCTAACAGACTATTAGTGAGATCTGTTTTGCTAAGAAACATTAAATTCCGTTAAAAATATCTCAAATTTTGCTGGAAAATTTTGATAGCACATCCTAGTTCCTAAAATATAAATAAAAAATGAAAGGGCGATCGATTTCTCGGTTACAAAATTCTACAGTAATTTTTACTATACAATTCTCTCCTTGTACAGATCGGAGATAACAAAACTCCCCCACTACTTTTTAGTTAAAAAATTTACACATTTAATTGATATTAATATCATCATTTTCAACTTGCACTGAAATAAACCCGTCGAGATTACCTGCTATGCGAAAAGCAGTTCGACGAATACAACTACAACCCATTTTCCTTGACTGTGCTTAAAAACGAACGGTCCGCAAGGTCGCCAACATTACTCCATCACTTGCAATAACAATCTTCCGCGAGAGACGCGGCATTGCATATCCCTCCGGGGGTAAGAGCAACCCTTCAATAACGTCGCGTCGCGTCGAGTCGAGTAATTTGGCCCGCGGCGTTCGGGTGAAGCCCGCGTAAACATCGGCCGGACAAACGCTCGCACACACGTGAACACACGGGGAACACGCCGCCGCATCCGTAAGGAGAATTTTCGTTAATCAAGCCACATCAGTGGCCTCTCCGGCCGCAACGCTATCGACTGTCCCAATAACTGAATTATTGCCGCTCGGCGTTACACGTGTAGAGAGACGGAGATGATGGAAGTGAGAGAGCGAGTGTGCGCGTATGCACACGAGCGAGAGAGACAGTGGAGTTTGGGGGGAAGAGGGAGAGGAGAGAGCCGTTGGGTGCACTGCACGTCATACTGGACGCGTCCCTTTGTATCAGGAGGAACACGCGTGAGTGCATACGACGTGATACCGGTCCGCCGCTAACTCCTCCGTTAATACTCGTCGCCGCGACGACAGAATATCGACTTGAACGAACAAGATGTCCGCGCGCTTTGCGAATTAGCGTGATTGCTATTAAACGATATTAATTATACCTCCGCGTGTAATCAAATTTAATTTTGTTGGGAGATAAAAGGAGAGCGGAATTGCACAAACACATTAAAATAAGACCTATAAGACCTATAAGAGGCGTACGCTGGATGTTAGTGCGAATAAGATTGAATAGGAGAATGATATCATTCATTCTTGTTTCGTTTCATCTTTCTCTTAATTTAGTACACACATTTTCAGATAATTTAGAAAAATATTTAATATCTAATCTATATGATATATAGTTTAGAAAAATATTTACTGCATTCAAATAAATGTTACTGCAAGTACTTCGTAAGTTTACACATCCGCGAATCTATCATAGATTTCCTCCTCGCACACAAGCATCACATTTATTTAAAATACATTTTAAATTCCCTAATGAGTTTAACATTTCAATCGAGGATATTAAATTAAAATTCGCTTTGCTCGTAATACATAGGTAACCAGCCTCTTCTTCGATCAAGTTTTATAATATTCTTGCAAAGAGAATAAATTCTCGTCTCGAGTGCACGATAATGAGCTTTTCACAAATTTCTGATGAGTATATTTTAAGACCATTATCAAGAAAGTATTGTTGAAGATAATCATTGCTTAAAGAAGGAAAATAAGCTGAGCAATTGCTTTTCTTAGCAGTAGAATTATTATATATTTCTGTATGTGTAGGCTGCATTGGGCTTTTATTCGTTTGGCTTGGTTTAATTTGATTTTTTCTTAAATCCCTCGGCTCTCGTGTCCGCGTGAACATTTCCTCGAGAGTCCGATCGGAAATCGCGAAAAGTAAATTGTGAACGTATTGCTTCGCGATTAAATTCACGCTTTTGTTATAACGGAACGACCGGTTAAGCGAGAGTCTGAAATCGATTCTCATAAGCTCCGGCGCACAATAACGGCGGGCTCTTTGAACTTGGATTCCTGGATCGCTCCAACTTCCACGGGATCGTCTAACTTTCTATCTCGTTTACCGCGTATTGAATGTTGCGGCCCATAGTTACCGAAAACCTAAGCACCGATGACGTTCGATTCGATGAAAAAGGTAATTCCATCACTTCTGACCTTTATCCATTCGAGCAGGAGTATTTTATGCTCGCTGAAATGAATTACGAGTAACACTCGAAGAATTGCGTTTCGTTCAAGCGACATTTAAATCATCATTATTTCCTTTGATAACCCTCGACGTGTTTTTCAGAATTTTTAAAGCGAATTTACACGTGCAAATGTATCGAATATGTCGTATGACTCCAGTAGCACTATAATTAGTTGTTAATTGATACCGGACGCTTAACACGTCGACGCGTTTCACGTGTCGCCGCTCTAATTAAAATACATCGCGTGGGCGTGCGCTCGTGACGCACATTGCGTCGCACAAAAATAATTTTGTGTTTATTTCTCGAGCGTGTTTTATTGGAAAAACGTGGTAGGACATTTTATTAATAAATTTTGTTACTCGCAGTCAATAACTTTGTTCGTAAACGCCAGCGAGATATTCGACGGAATATCTTTGATTTCGCTGGATAATGAAATTATTTAGCTCCATAGAGATATTTCAGACGTAATAACGAATGGAAAATTGAAAAGACAATAAACAGCATTAATTGATAACGCATGATAAATGATCCTGCATAAAAGTAATAATTAAAAAATAGTAAATATAATAATAATAATACGTAAATTATTTTTTTGTAAATTATTCTTTGGACTTTTCGTCGAAAAAAATATGTCTGCCAATTATTAGGATATTTTTTGAATTTCTCCCAAGATTTCGAAACTTTTAACTTGCGCACACACTGAGAGAAAAAATATTCAAAAAATAGTAAATACTTTTTTGGGCGCATTAATAACATATTTACTTAATTCTCAATTCTGTTATTTAAACAATTGTTTTCACGAAGAGCTAAGGTTCCCTTAAGGTTTTGAGAAAATATATATTCTCTTATTTGAAAAATATTTTATATACTAGTATAAATGAAAATACATGTTGTTATATAGTACTCGCCGAATAAATATTTACTATTCCTTGGATATTTTTTTCTCTCAATTTGGAAGAACTCCATGCCGGCACTCGACTGTGATTAACGAATGAATTTTAAATTCCGTCGCGATTGCCCCGTCACGACTTGACGTCGCGGTCTGTAGATCGCGGAATTTCTCGATTCGATCACGCGTTCGATTACCGAATGTAATTAGCTGGCGTTGTAAGCAGAACGGCACGTCCCGCCGTAGCTAAACGAGTTTCGCCCTTTAGGCCGAGCCGCCCTTTCGTATCGCGACGTGAGTTTCCATTATGCGTGCGAAGGGTTGAAGGGCAGCTACAGCAGCCGCATCGCTAATTAGGAGACTCGCTCGCTACGCGAGCAGGACCCGGCTCCGGGGATCGTCGAGCCGGCATAATTAAATTCGAGCCCTTTAAGGAGCCGTCTTGACAACTCGCCCGGCATCCGCCTCCCTTTTAATAGCGAGTTAACAATGGCGTGATTATAGGAACGAACGAACAGTCGGGCGGGCGGGCAACCTTACCGTATTTTTGAGACGACCGTGGGCGTGAATTCTAATTGGCGAAAGCCCAACTCCTCCGGCCTCACGTCCTCCAGGCTGCTGTACCTCACGTAACTACAAGCCGGTGTGGGGATGTCTGAAACAAAGGGTAGAAATTGAGCAGTCAGGCTCGCGCTAAGGAAAATCGGGTGTGCGTAAGCTGCGGCGTAAGATATAATTAATTCATTATCAATTATGAAACCTCGGATTGACAGTTCAGTGACTACTGTTGCCACATTTTTAAAGATCAAAACACTCAGAGAAAAAATATTTCAGAAATAAAAAGTACTTATCCGATATGGAGTAATAACATATTTACTTATATTAATTATAAAACTCGAATATTATTTTTTTTATTTATTATTATTGTTATTTATTGTACATATATATTATTTTATATATATAATTCTTATTTTTTTAAATAAGAAAATATACATTTTCTTGAGACTTTAACCTTTCATGAAAGTAATCATTTATTCTTTTTAAATAAAAGAATTTAGATTTAGATAAATATATCATTAGCATTTATTAAATAAATATTTCTATTTTTTTATATTTTTTTCTCAATGTGAACAAAGATTGCAAATATTTCTCTCTTTTTGAAATAAATATTGAACAAAGTGTAATATAATTCATGAAAAAGAAGGCGATATATGGATCGATGCATATTGCAAAAAAGTATCCTTTGAAAATTTTCGATTATTATCGAGCTTTTTGCATTATTGCAATCGCCCAGTGTACTGTGACACTTAACTTGCTTAACAGCGAATTTTTATTTCCGCTCTAATTTATTTTCGCGTTTGATAGTTTCCCAGGCATGTCGATAGGAAGGGGTAAGAATCGCAACTGCGGAAGCGTGAAAAGCGCGGCGCGAGCGTGCTTCGGCGCGTAATTTCCACCTGGCCGGCGTTTGCGCGCGAAATTTTCGCTTGTGCGAATTGTAAAAAAAAAGGGAAGAGAAGAAAGGAAAAATCCTATCTCAGCGAGACCGTCGTGGGGAATTTCCCGACGCGCGTTTCTCGCTTCTGCAAAACGTGTCGTTTTTCCCGACGTTCATTCTCGCTTCATTAACTGCGAATCAACGACGTACTACATTAAGAAAAAGAAAAGGATTACCTGATCCCCGCGCCGCGACCGTGTGCAGGGAGAAGGACGTCGAGTTATCAGGAAGGGGAGGGAGGAGGCCCTGAGGTTGGCGGGAAGAAGGGGATAATAGTCTGCAAAGGGGAGATAGATTATAAAATCGATGAGACTCCTTCGGGCTCGCCAACTTCGTCCGGTTCTTTTTGTCGCAAAAAATCGCCCGTTAATTTCCTCCGCTGATTAACCCTTCCGGCGCGCTACGTCTGTCAAATTAAATCGCCTTAAAGTACAGCCGCCGAATTTATCTTCCAATTTTTCGCGAAAACGAAAGGTATCGCGGTTCAACAACGCGCCACGAGCTTCGGGATAACAGACGGCCGCTTCTTCTTCTTCTTCTTCTTCTTCTTCTTTTTCTTCTTCTTCTTCTTCTTAGACATAGCGAATAAATTCGACGAGGTTTTTTGCAAACCGGGATTCTTGAATCCCACGACGGTTCTTCGCTCGCGAGGATCGTCCTAACGAGGGCGATCACATTTGAAAAGTCGGAAAACGATCCGAGAGAAAATAACAGCTTCGCAACACAGCGTGCAGTCGAACAATAGCCGCTTCTTCTTTTACAAATGCGGCGCGGAGGAGGAGGCTCTTTCGCGAGCGGGATAACCGTGATCACTGGATCCCGACGGGATTGTTTGCTTTACGCTTAATGAGCGCGGGCACTTTTCGAAAAGTTAGAAAACGATCGAAGAGAATAGGAGGAGTGGGGTGGCGTCGGGGGGAGGGGGCGACGAGGGGTAGAGCTCGGCGAAGGTGGTAAACCGCTGGGGTACTTCAATCAGCTCCCCAACTTTAACCGCGCTTCTGCCTTCCGGCTGGTAACTCTCGCTAATGAAAGCCGCGTGCAAACTCGCGCAAGAAACCGCGCTCCTCCCGTGTTGGACTTTGGTCTCGCGTATTAAAACGACGATAAATGATAAAGTCACGGCGAGACGCCGCGCTCCGATATTTCGATAATTGAAGTCCCCCCCTCTCGAAGAGGCCGCGCGCTCGGTTAGTTATTTTCTAACATTTAATCATAAACTCCGGCTGTTGCTTAGACGCGAATAAATAGCGGAAATTTGCCAGGAGCTCCCCCCGGGAACTGTTAACGTCATCGCTGCTCTGAGAGCATTGTCAATTTTGTCGTTGAACGAGGGCGCTCGACGTCGTTGTTCCTCTCGTTCCCGCCGCGTTACCGACGCACCATTATCATCTCACAATCGTCAGTCATCGCTACGACCGATCTAAGCAACGGGATTACGTTCTCGCGAAGCGATATCCAGCAATCGTAGTGATTAACGGACGGCGACCGCAATGAGTTAGCTGGTCTCTCTTCGTCGCGCCGCTATTCCTTGTTTACAGAGGTTTAGCACAGACAGCGGAGTGATAGTAGCTCTGGCTGCGGGTCTTAGCCCTTGGAGGGACACGGCTGGTAATTCCAATTCAACCGCCTTTTCCCTTCAATGCCGCGACGCGCTGGGCGTCGCCCGGCGAGACATTTATTGCCGCGATGAGGCATCGTCCGGGATTATTATGCGCTCGGGACGCATTCTTATGCGACGACGCTTAATCGTCGCTGTTCAACAGCTTTTCCCTGCAGTCGGGCGCCATTAATCCACGGAAGTCCTTGGTCGCGCGACAGGATTCCGGGATGGTGAAATTAAAAGGCGAGCCGCGTTTCAGCGCCTGAACAAACCCCTTAAGGGGATGAGCGCGGTACGATGTTTGTCTAAGAGGGAATAAGGCGGTTGGCGTATGCATCGGGGATTACGGTCTGATTAAATATTACGGGAACTTTCGAGCAATACGAATCGTTCGGTTAATCCGGTTAATGCATTTCACTCGCGAGTCGTAAATTTCCACTGACTAATTGCAGCAAAAGCGAAAGAAGCATAAAGAGAGAGAGACATAATCGAGACAATATACACCGAGAAAAAAATACTTGGAAATTTATTTGTGGGATATAAAGTTCATTTCTGCGAAATATAAACTTTTATCTCGCAAATAAATTTCCCAGTATTTTCTTCTCAGTGTACGATTAGCTCTTCACGAGTGCAGTTTAAAGAGGTATTTCACATTTTTCGGGCTCTTTAACGTTAATTCTTCGTTTCGCGGTTGAACTGAAATTTAAAAATAACAATTTTAATTTTTAATCTTGCTCGAGAAGTATCAAATCTCACTTCCTCCGTGTGCGTAATTCAACATAAAAGCGTGACTGGAGTTTTCGCTATTCCAATGACAGATTCATTGCGCGGAATGATGCGCCCTCCCTGAATTCGCATTTCCACGGGAGTTCCCTAACGCGAGTATTTCGCGACATTGCGACAAATAATCGCGTTTCACGTGATTGCATGCCGCTCTTAAATCGTCGAGCTCCATTTAGCGCTCACCGCTAACCGGCTCCGACATGCTAAGAGCTTTCGTCTACTCTTTCCAAGGCTTTAAAGCTCTCGCGCGGAACGACCGCCAGCCAGATCGCCCGGGTCGTCTGGAAGTAACAACAGTGGCGACGGCGATAACAATTTCTCGATTGACTCGACCACACGTGGCCAGGGAATAAAATCGTCTCGCCGGAAATCGGGGCAGGCATTAGAGAAATAAGCCCGCGAGCGAATATATCGAGAACATATCAATCAGGAAAGCGCAAAAGTAAAGTACCTCTGGCGAAGGATATCGAGTGCGAAATGTATAAGTTTTTCGCAAAGCTGAAACATATTAGAACTTGAGTGAAAAGTAAAGAGTCAAGGCACACGCAATGTGTACTTGCAACCTCCTATTTTCTCTCTCTCTCTCTTTCTCTTTCGGTTTTTAAATTAAAGCAAAGTAGATATTTTTCACTGAAATCAAATAGAGGATGTATGCGGCTTAGATGACACTGTTGCGTCGTGATGAACAAATGTCTGAAGCCGCCGCTGCGCCGGAAATACGACGACGGCGACAATAAAAATAAAAATAATTGTCCGTGTAGCAACAACCGACGTGTTAACTGCAGCTCAGATGGCCGCGGCAAGATGGCCGCGGAAACAAAGAGCTGGGAATGACGTTGTTTACGAGCGCCGATTGTTTTAAAAAGCGACTAGAGAGTCGAGCATCACTACTGGCGGTCTCGGGAGAACGAAGGGGATGAAAGGAGAGAAAGGCGCGGAGGCAAGAAAGGAAGAGAAGGACGGAGCACAAAGAGGGTCGAACTCGAATAGGGGATGCGGGTGAGGGCTCCTTCGTCTGAGTTGGAAGACGCCGTTGCAGGAGCGAGCTCGATTGCATTATTGGTCAGGATTAAAAAGCATTCTCCAGGCGATTGTTTGTAATTCTAATGAAAAAGCCGCGCGATAAAGGAATCGCCGGATCGAACGCCGGAAATTCACGCCCGAGTTCCGCGAGCTGGGATTTAAAGCGGTGCTGATTCAACCCCTTCGTGTTTCCGACCCAATCACGAGCATGCTTTCTCTCTATCACAACCGCACAATAATATCTCATAAATATAACCGTTATTGTATTAGCGCATCAATTATTATTACATTAATATTTATTGTTTCCATGGTATCAAACTCTGTGAAGAACATAAAACTGACGCTTTGCTCTACAAATCCGAAGGAATATTTCCCATCGGTTTTTAGCGTACATTAATCTTCACTTTAACGCAAACACCAAAATTCGGTAGTTTCTGTATTTATATAATTCTACTAATTGATTTATAGTTCACTGAGGAACTATAAACCAGAGAAACCAATATCGTATCTATAGATTCAGATATTGTATATCTATGGTTACTCCTTTACACAGTAAAGGTCCAAACTGTGATCTTTTTCTTATTGATAAAAGTCTCTCTAAATGTGATTTAATATGATATGATATGATATGATAAATCTTCTGATTGACTTTCAGTCACATTCAAAGGCACTTTTATTATCGACAAGAGAGCGTTCAGAATAAGGACCTTAGAATTTACTGTGTAAAATTAGCGTCATTATTACACAC